CACCCACCTACCCATCAACACATCCATCCACCCATCCACCTACCCATCAACACATCCATCCAGCCACCCACCCCTACCCACCTACCCATCAACACATCCATCCATCCATCCACCCACCTACCTACCCATCAACACATCCATCCACACATCCACTCATCAACCCACCTACCCATCAAATATCCACTCAACCACCCATCCACCCATCCACCCACCCATTCACCCACCCACCTACCCATCAACACGTCATCCAGCCAGCCAGCCATCTACCCACCTACCCATCAACATGTCATCCAGCCAGCCATCCACCCACCCACCTACCCATCAACACATCCATCCATCCAGCCAGCCATCTACCCACCTACCCATCAAATATCCACTCAACCATCCATCCACACATCCACCCACCTACCCTACCCACATCCACCCTACCCACATCCACCCATATATCTGCATGTCACCCGCCTACCCATCAACACACACAGATGTGCACCCGCTATATCTATCCATGCAACCATACACACACATCCACACATGCACCCACCTGCCCGTCCACTCGCCCACCTATCCATCCATCTGCTCAGCCAGTCGTCCAGTTGTGCATCAGGGCATTCAGTCTGACCCCAGTGCAGGCAGACAACCGTCACCACTCACTGGCCATCCGTCCCCCCGAGGCTGACCTCATTGGGTTGAGGGGTGAGTGCAGGCTTCTCCAGGGCACAGGCCACCCTGACGGGCTCACTGTGGAGAGAATGGGAAGACAGGTAGACAACCCCGAGGGCTGCCACCGCGTGACGAGGACCAGCTGCTGGCACACAGTACAGCTGGGGGTTGGTGACTAAAGCAGCCAGGCTTATTGTCCCCCTTCCTTCCGAGTCTGATGTTCCGTGCTGGGGGACGCACTCTTTTGAGCCCACTTTACTGGAATCCCTCGGCCGTCCCTGCTCCTGGCAGCCACCACCCTGCCTCCTGCGGTGGCCTGGGAGGAGGAACGGGAGCCTGGGGAGGTCAAGGAGGGTCGCAGCCACCAGGCTGTGGCAGGCCCGGTGTCACCCAGGGTGTCTCACAGCAGGTGTGGGTGATGGGGAGCAGTGGCCTTGTGCGTAGGGGTGTCGTGACGGGCTGGGGAAGAGAGACAGACCAGGGAAGATGGGAGAGGCCAGGGCTAGGCAGGGCTAGCCAAAGAAGGGCAGGTCCAGAGGCCCTGGGGATGCAGTGGTGTTACCTGTGCCATGGGAGGAAAGAGGCCCACAGAGGCCAAGTGACCAAGGCCCTGTGTGGCCTCACTCCTCCGACACCACCCACCAGGCAGCACGGCCCAAATCACACACACCTGGGGGCTGCCCGACATATGCGGCCACCCATACAGAGACAGCTGAGCAGGGAGAGCGGGAAGGGGCAGGTCACCAGCCCCTGAGGGGCTCCAGGTGGACTAGAGTCAGAGAGCGTGCAGCTGGCAGCAGCACGGGGACGCTTCCCCTCCGCTCCCCACTCTCCTGGCTGCGTGGACTGAGTGGGGCTGGCTCCGTTCTGTTTGCCCCCGTAAACAGATCCTTTTAAGACTTTCACCAGGCACCTTCTTACTGTGTCCACTAATGAGGGTCTCAAAAGGGACAGACGGGCCCTGGCCCTGACTGGAATGAACGAGGGCTCCAGGGAGGGAGAGGGCCAAGCAGGGTGCATTCATTTCCAAAATCATCCCAGATACGAGGCCGTCCCTGCCACACTGCCAGCTCCTCGGGACTTGTTTCCTGGTGTCCCCTGCAGTGCTAGGCCAGCTCAGACCCACCACTTAGGGCCCAGTCCCCATGCAACTGCCTCATCTCAGATGTCGCCATCTCAAGGCCACCTGGACCTGTGCCAGCGACTGCCATGTGGGGTCCCACAGCCCCTCGAGCCAGGACCCAGAGACCACCTCCAGGGACCCCAGAGAGCGTGGCCTGACCCCGCGAGTATCGAGAAGGCTGCATGGGGAGAGAAGAGACGTGGGGCTGGGGTCATGGAGTCTCTGCGTTCACCATCCCGGAGGCTGCTGAGTCGGTCCAGGGTTTCACCGTCAATAGAATGATGTCCACAGGTTGAAGTGGTGTCCCGTCCTCCTCCTAGAGACCAGGAGCTGACACCAGGGCTCCGAGTCTCCCTCTAACCACCTGAAACTGGGCAGAAGGCCGCCACGTGGCAGCTCGTTGGCACAGTCTCAGATGTGCTCCCGGGCCAGCGTGAGTGACAGTGACCACATGGCCATTTCCCCGAGGAAGAGGCTGCTGCCGGGGACTCCCGGGGAGACCAGGAGAGGTTTAGGAAGCACGCCCTCCCTGAGGCTGCTCACACATCCCCGCGGGCACCCTCAACGAGCCTGGGGCACATCCTGCCCAACCCACCCTCACCTAACAGGGGCCTTCCTCCTGCCTCTGCCTGGCTCAAGGAGGACTGGGCCACACAGCACTGGCCTGGGGAGAGACCCCAGTGCCGACTCTACGGATGTTTCTTGGATGGTTTCTGCTGGACGGGGGGCTCAGCCCCAGGTTCCCTCCGGCACCTCTCCTGCGGAGATAAGGAGCCCACCTGCTCTCCGGGGCCTCGGATCCCATGTCCCCGGGCCTCTGACTGCAGTGGGGGCTTCGGGAGGCTTCTCCACTGCTGTGACGTTCCCTTGGGTGCGAGGCCACCAGGTGCGGGCCTCTTGTGGCTCACACCGAGGTTACCTCCTGCTCGTGGCTTTCAGTGTCATAAACAGTGACAGAAGAGAGCTGAGCTGGATGTCCTGCACATGGACAGCGTCTCCAGGCTTCCCTTCCCCAGTGGGCTTGGGCGAGGAGGGAATAAGTGCTTGTGGTGTGGACGGGCATTGCCGATTCCTTCCACTGTCCACGGGTTGCGGGTGGAGCAGCCTGTCCCCCTTGGCCTGGGGACAAACTTGGCCTCTCTGGGTCCAGCCGCCTACACTCCTCTCACCGTGAGTGAGATGGGCATCTGGGGTGCTCCAGGGGCCATTGGAGGCTCCTTTGTGTGCACTTGGGACCACAGTCTGCAGGGATTCGGGGTCATGAAGTTCTGGTCTGCACTGGGAGAGAGCAGGACTTAGGCAGATACGGGACAGGGGCACCCCAAGAGGACTGTCTGAGGGCAGTGCCAGGTGGGAGGGCCTGGGGCAGGGGAAGAGCTCTAGGCCGCCCTCCTCGGCAGCAGGGGTGGAGGCAGGGGCTCTGCTGGCCTGTCCTGTGAGGAGGCCTAGCCCCAGCTCTCCAGCCCTCTCATGAGCATCCCTGTGTCCAGGCCCTGTCTCTAAAGGAAGCAGAGAGGAGCCTGCTGAAAGAGCAGCTGTCCAGGGCCACACGGGACCTGGAGCACGTGCAGCAGGAGGCCCAGGGCCAGCAGGCACGAGCCGAGGTGAGCCCACCACCCTGAGCCAGCAACCAGCCCCTGCCTGGCCGTGCACGGTCCAACCTGCGGCAGACACCAGCTCACCTTTCCTCCTGTCCCAGGAGCATGGCCGCTGCCCAGGGCTTCCTGGGCCAGGGAGGAGAGAGTCTGGTGGCAGGAAGCCAAGGCTGTGCTCTGGTCCCTGCCTGGGCAGGTCTGGGTGCTCCCAGCCCTCAGAACCAGCGGGGGCCCAGAGGGGAGGCCTGGCCAGGGAGGAGGGGGAGGGCTGCCCCAGGCCTGTGCCCGTCTGCAGCCACACAACCAGCCTCGCCTTGCTGTGCGGTGGGAAGGGCAGCTGCGACCCAGGGGCTGCAGAGGCTCACCCACTGGGGTCCCTGCCACCCACTGCCCCCGAGGCCACCCACCTGTGCTGCCTGCCTGGGAGGTGTGAGGTGGGGTGGGAGCAGGTGTGATGGGTGGCAGGCCTGGGGGAGGCGCTCGCTGGTTCTGACGTGGGGATGGGGACTCCTGGCTGACCACGGGACGCTGTGCTGCAGGAATCGTGTTCCAGGTAGGAGGTGGCCCCAGGGGCTGCCTGGCCCTGCCCTGACACCAAGACCAGACCCCATGTCACTCTGGGCAGGGCAGTCCAAGGCAGCCTGGACCCAGGAAAGCCTGGCCCCAGACCTCTGGCTCCCAGCCGCCACCTCGGCCGTGTCCCTTTCCTGAGGCAGGCTGAGAGGGTCCCGGGGCTGGAGGATGGGGCTGTGCCCTTCCCAGCTACTCTCTTAGCCCCCTGTGGGCAGGGACCAAGAAAGCGCGGAGACGGGGAGCGCCCGCCGTTCTCAGGGTAGCCTCCGGGAGCTGGCTCCTGGAGCATCTGTGTGGCTGGGTCTCCCCTGGACCCAGGGTGGACCTGCCGGCCAGTGAGCTCCTCGGGCGCTCCTTAGGGGCTCTTTTACCACCTCAGCTCCAAAGACAGGGGTCGAAACCCTCGGAGAGGAGGGGAGTGGAAACGCAGCCCAGGAACAGCTGGGGTGACGTGGTCAGGCGCCCCCAGAGCACAGGGGCCTGCGGGCTCTCAGCAGAACCTGTCCCCAAGCTCCCAAGGTGTCCTCCAGCCTCACTGAATAAGCAGTTCTGGGGCCGTGCCAGGGCACGAAGCCCATGTCCAGCTGTCCAAGGCGACGTGTCCGTCCAGGAGGCAGGGGGTAGAAGAGCCTGTGCCCTGGCCTGACTGGAATAAACGAGGCTCCTGCTGTGCTGCTGCCAGAGCCTGGCGAAGCCCAGGGCAGGGCCCCAGGCAGCGGCCTGCAGGATGGGGGGCGCCCACCTGGCACCTGTGCCTCCCTGGAACCCCGGGTCCCCTCAGCTGCCCTCCTCTGCCCAGCTGCTGCTAGTAGGCCACAGAGACTGTAGCCTGGGGAAGAACCCCCTGTGAGACACTGTGGCCCAGGGTGGATGGGGAGAGTCCTGGACAGGAGAGCAGGTGTGGGACAGGAGGACAGTTTGGGCGAGGCTGGGTCCCAAGTGGTGCCAGAGCTGCCTAGGCAGGGTGGCATCCAAGGGCAGGCAAGACTGAGTGCTTCACACTGGCAGCTGGCAGAGACAGTGGGTGTCCCCCTCCACCTGCCATTGGTCAGTCCAGGAAGGAGGAGCAGCAGAGTGGCACTCGATTCCCAGGAGGAGCATCTCTAACGATGCTCTGGCCTCCTCAGCCCAGGCTGATGGGCTGGGTCCCCCGGGAGGGGAATGGGCACTGCCTCAGAGGGTGAGCCCTCCTCTCCTGGGTGACCTCAGTGAAGGCTGCGGGCCTCAGGCCCCGGGGGGTTCCTCTGCATCCTGGGCCTGTGTGGCCAGCAGGCCCTGCCAGGGCAGAGGTGACCCCAGCTCACTGCCAGCATCACTGAGGACAGAGCCTGTCCACAGGCCAGATGACCCTTCCCGATCCTCCCCCTGAGCCAAGGAGCCCAGCAGGGACATCCTAGGCAGGCCACCAGTCGGCTCTGGGGTCCTGGGCCCAGCGTCCCCTGCCGTGGTCTGGTGGCTCGGGAGCCCCAGAGGGGAAACAGAGGTGGGAGACGGGTTGGAGCCTCAGCCCCCCTCCCGGAGCCCCTCTCCGGGCCAGCACTCTGCCCTTCACCAACATGCTGGGCAGTCAGCAGGCGATGCCTGCCCGGCACCCCCAGCTGCCCCCCAGGGGACGCCCACCTCAGGCTGGCCTCCCTGATGGGTGGTGTGTCCCTGCTTCCCCAGGCCACCCTCAGCACCAGGACAGAGGAGCTACGGGCCCTTCAGGCCCAGTTTGAGGAGGCCATCTCCTCCCACCAGACACAGGCCGAAGCTCTGAGCCAGAGTCTCCGGGAGGTGGCAGCCGGGAGGAGCAGTGCCCAGCGAGAGGTGAGGGCAGCAGGAGCCGAGTGGGCGGGGCTGTGCTCAGCTCAGAGCTGCCCTGGGGGAGGGGAAGCTGGCCAAGATTCCAAACCTACAAGGATGAATTTGGCGTGCGGCGGCGGTGGACGTGACCGGAGAGGGCGTGCCCCAGGCTGGGCCCCAGGAGGACAGCCAGGGAGGGCCAACTCGCGGGAGGCTGGCCAGGACACAGGGTCCAGGTGTGGCGCCACACCCGGCCCAGCACTCTTATTCCACACAGCTCACACCCGGAGTCCAGGGGCACCTCCCTGTGCAGGGTCTGTGGTCTCTCTTGGGAGGCAGCCGCGACTGGGGGTGGACACGGGGAGGCTGGACTCAGCCTATGGGCTGTGGGTCTGGAGGCTGGGTCTGGAGGAGCCTGCAGTCGAGGGGCAGGAAGAGACAAGGGGCGAGTGGGGTTTTCAGGGATGGTCAGGGGCCTGGCGGGGTCCTGGTGTTGGCACAGAGACCCCAGTGGCCCAGTACCATGTGATCATGATGGGGTGGGGACAGGCAGGGGCAGAAGGAGCACAGAGAGGCCAACTGGGGCCCAGCAGGCCAGCAGATGGAGACGTGTCTCTGAGGAGATTTGACAGGACTTGGGGGTGCCTGCAAGAGGCAGGGCAGGGGACATGTGGCTGAGGGCTGGACGAGGGGCCAGCAAAGCCCAGAGGGGCCTGCGGGGGCAGGTGGCCTCATGGCTCCCTGGGCTGTGGGCCGAGCAGGGGGAGGGCTCAGCCCCCCCAGGCACGCCCCGCGTGAGCCCCCGAGAGGAAAGCGTGATTCACCAGACGGGCTATTTACACTGGCCCCAAAGAGAAGGGCCCCTTGCAGCGGTTTCCAAGTCAGGCTGGTCAGTGAGCACGGGAAGGAGGGTGAGCTTTCCAAGCTGGGCAGTGTGGGGAGGCTGGGGACACATCTGTTCTGGTGGATCCAGGGGGACAAAAGCGGTAGGGGCCTCACAAGGGGAAGGGGACCCCCACGAGGGAAGTGATGGCCCCAGAAACAGAGTGGGGACCCCAGAAAGGGTGTAGGAGTGACGGGGACTGAGGGGGTGCTCAGAGGAACAATCACAGAGAAGCAGGCGCCAGGTGAGCCCAGGGTTGCCATGGAAACCAGAGCCTGGAGGCTGGAGGACCTTCCGGGCCCTGCCCGAGGTTCACCCCACACACAGATGTGTGTCCATATCCCACGCTGCTTAAAAGCACGCAACCAAGTGATAAGTGCACACTGAACATGTGCACATGCACACCCAGGCTCTCACATGCATTCACACACTCACACATGCAAACACACTCCGGCACCACCCAACACACATGCATGCATAAAGATGAATGGCAAGCGGACACGTGTGCACATGCAAGCACATCCATCATGCCTGTGGACGGTGCATGCACACTCTCGGCCACATGTTTGCACACCAGAGCACATGTGTGCACACTCACTTGTGCATGCACACTGCACACTTGCCCCCGGGCCAGCCCACAGCTGCCCCTCCCCCGCTTTCCCTCCCTGCCTCCTCTGCAGCTGCCCCCCTGCAGAGGTTTCAGAAGAGGCTGTTTATACAATTTCTAGTGAAGAAATAATTATTATAATCACATTAAGCGATTTGGCTGTAAAGTTCCCGTAAAAGGGCTGCTCTTATGAGGCGGGTGGGCAGACACAGGGGGTAGAGGTGGGGGTGGGGGTTTGTTTTGCTTGTTTTCATCCCCTCCGCCCTGGGAAACGAAAACAGCTTCTTTATGATGGATGGGCCCTTTTCCTGGTCCTTGACCTCCTGGGCGGATTTCTGCTGAGCTCAGCGGAAAATGCTCGGCACAGTTGCTGCTCCCACATGTGGGGGTAGGAGGGGAGCTGAGGGGAGGCTCAGGCCCTTCCCAAAAACAGAACAACAAGAACAGCAGGCAGACCCCGGGCCAGGCGGCCAGGGGCCTGGACAATGTCCTGTGAAAACAGCCAGAAAAGAGGGTTTGCTTTGGGCACAGCAGCAGCTCGCCGAGTGTTTGTGGCTTCCCCCGCGGCTTGCCCCTGCCCACTTCCTCCACCGCCTCCTCCCCAGGGGCCCGCGAGAGCCAGGATGGAGCCTTCCCAGAGGCAGCTGGTCAGGGCCATGGCTCAGGCCTGGGAGGCAGGAGGCCAGGGGTCCAGGCTGGGCCCCAGCAAGCTCCACCCCAGAGCCTGAGTGCTGCAGGTGGGCCGCTCCTGCCCACTCTGAGCCTGCCCAGTTGACCTCCCCCAGACCCTTCCATCCTGGGAGCCCAGTACCTGGAGAAACCTGTCTTCCAGGCTGCTGACCCTCCCACTCCCATGCTGCAGCCTGGGGCCAACTCGGGTTATGTAACTACCCCACCCAGGCCTACCTGGAGGACCCTGTGGGTGAGGAGGCCACTGGTGCAGGGGGGACGTGTCCTGCTTCCAGTGTGATGTGGTCATACTCTGGGCCTTGGACAACCCTGGCAGGGAACGAGGACTCACTCCACCGTGGGGCAGCTCAGGTGTGCAGGACGACACGAGGCCAGGAGTGGGGTGGGGGCTGCGGTTCCTGCTGGCCCCAGAGCCCACCCACAGTGGCTTTCTTTCTGTGCCCCCTGCTCCCAGGCCTGAGACCTGCTCCTGTGGGCTGAGCTTTGTGCAGGGCTCCTGTAATGGGGACAGCTTCCAGTCCCAGCAGCTGGGCAGCCCAGCACCAGTGGCTTCCCAACTGCCAGAAAATTCTGAGGGCCCAGGCGCCCTTCTCCCTCCCCACTGCCTCCCCTGTGGACGGAGGAGGCAGAGCCAGGAGGCCGGGGTCGGTAGGCATGCCCATAACCATGCAGTGGCCAGTGCTGAGCCACTGGGTTGCTGACCCAGCTGCCCACTGCAGGGCAGGAGTGGCCCTGGCTGACACTCATTGCAGGGGAGGAGTGGGTGCAGGGGCAGCAAGTAGGAAGGGCAGACCCTGCCCAGCAGTGGTCAGTGTCCTGGAGTCCAGCACAGGGACAGGCCAGGATGGGGACCGGGCTTAGGGACTGGCCCTCCTAAGCTGCCCCTGGCCTCAGCAGTGGTAGACAGGTCCTGCCCCGTGGAGGGCGGGGCTGGTGTCTAGGCTCCCGGGCTGCGCAGACACCTGCACCTGCCAGACCAGTTTCACCTGTGTGGCCCACGGCTGTCCTGGACCACGGCCCCTCGGCCAGCCACCAGAGCCACATGCTTCCGTCAGGCTGAGAGGCTGCGGGCACAGCTGAAGGTGGCCCAGGAGGAGCTGGCCAGCCTGCGCCAGGAGCGACGGGGCTGGGAGGAGAGCCGAGAGGGTCTGCACAGGGAGGTCCTGGAGGCCCGCCGGGCGCTGCGTGAGGAGGCCCTCGAGAAGAGTGTGCTGCGGGCCGCCGTCCGCAGGGCCGCGCAGGAGGAGGCCAGGTGAGGGGTCTGGGCCAGACAGCAGGGAGAGGCGCCAACCCCTACCCCGTCTGAGGCCTGCCGGGGCCAGCCCAAGCAGCAGGGAAGGGGGGTGGACATGGTCCCCGCCTTCGAGGAGTTGCCTCGCAGCCCCTGAGACAGGCCAGCCTGGCCCGTGGGAGACTGGGGCCTGGCGGGCTGCAGGAAGGCCCCGAGGCACAGCAGGTTGGCGCCAGACATGAGGTCTCTAGTGGTGTGGTGAGGGCCAGGCTACAGAGAGGCTGAAGATGTGGACAGTGGACACTGGACCAGGCCCATGCTAGCAGGAACTCGGATCTGGATGAGGCTGGGTCTTGGAACAGGGCATAGGGTCTGCACCAGGGACCGTGTCTTACTTGGGGAGGCAGCCAGGCAGCCACAGGGCCCCCCTGAGGAGGTCAGCCTGGGGTGTCCAGCCAGCCTCTGGTGCTTGCTCAGTTTTAAGCGGTCCAAGGAGGAGCAGGAGCAGAAGCTGCTGGGGCTGGAGGAGGCCTGGGCAGCTGCTCATCAGGAGGCCAGGGTGCTGCGGGCCAGGCTGCAGGAGCTGGAGCAGGCCTGGGGGGACACCCGCCGGGAGCTGCAGGAGAGCCGCAGACAGGTAGGGGTCCCCACACTCCCCCAGGCTGCTCCCTCAGCCATCCTGGGAGGAGCTTCTTCCAGGGGCCACTGGAGCCACCTTCTAGTGACGCCCGCCCAGCTCAGACCCCTCGGCTCTCCGGTCCCCTGAGCTCTCCGGTCAGCGCCCCTCCCCCCAGCCCTCCTGGCCCAGCTCCACTGGTGGCTCTGCACCCAGAGAGGACTACCAGGTGTGTGTCTGCAGAGTGGCTGAGCGTGGTTCCCAGCACCTGGTCATGTGGGGCACCAAGGCCCCGCCCAGAGCTGGACTTAGGCTGAGGCTCCCAGAATATGGTCAGCTGCCATGAGGGAGGACACATGAGCAGAGGCAGGGAGGGGAGGCTGTGGGGCTCCTGCCCCCATCCCAGCGCTGCCACCCTCCCAGGTGAGAATGCTGGAAGGTGAGAATCGGAGGAAGAGCCAAGAGGTGAGTGAGCTGCAGGCCCGGGGTGCACAGGATGCCCAGCGTCAGCAGCAGAGCCAGCAGGAGGCACTGGGGCTACAGAGGCAGGCGACAGAGGCCGAGGCCACCCTCCAGCAGACCCGGAAGGAGGCAGGACCTGTGCTTTCCTTGGATAGGTCTGAGGAGAGGCCAGGAAGGAGCGCGAGCAGAAAGGCAGGAGGCACCAGATGGGGGCGGGAAGGAGGCCAGAGGACCCACTTCTAGGCCGACTCCCACCTGCACCTGTGGGAGTCCACAGCCCACACACTGGGTGACTGAGCGGCCCGGGGCCGGGGAGATGGATCTGAGGAAGGGCCCAACTACACACACCTCCCTGGACTTGCCCAGGAGCTGTGTTCTAGAAAAGGTGTGTTTGGCCCAGATGAAGGACAGAGTTCTGCCAGGAGGAGGCAGGGAGCTTGAAATAGGGACACCAGGAGCCGGAGGTGCTGAGCTCATGCTGTGCCCATGCACACCCCCCCGACCCCACACCTGCACACAGACCTTGCCCCAGGCCCACCTGCCAGCTCCGTGTGCTGAACCAGGGGCTGCACACAGCCAGGGCTCCCCACCCTCCCAGAGCCCCAGGGTCACTGACAACACAGGGCCCCTGGTTCAGAAAGCTGTGCATGCCACCCACAGTCGCCTTGAGCCTGGGCCCCAAGAACCCGGGGCTGACCTTCCACAGCCCAGTGACCCACAGGTGACCTCAGTCCACCTGTGAGTCATTGTGTCCACCCAGGAAGCAGGATGAGACCAGGCCTGCTTGCCACCCTGCACCTCGACTCAGAGGCCTGTCTGTGTCCCTCTCCACCCTGCAGCCTGCACACTCCTCACTCACACACCCTGTGCAGAGGGCACCTGTGTGTGCAGATGCTGGCCCAGGGCTGTGCCCCGACCAGCATGGTGGGTCCTAAAGGGAGCCCCCAGCAGGAGGGGTGCTGGGACCACTGCCCACAGCTTTCAGGTGGCTGCCGGCAGGACTCTCAGCTGAGGGACACTCTGTGGTCTTAAGGTGCCACCTGGCTCAGGTGACCCCACCTGCCAGCTGTGACCTGCGAGGGGGTTGAGGCCCAGAGGCCTGGGGCAGGGTCTCCCAGGGGCAGATAGGCCTGGGTCTCCTGGCTGGTCCCCCCACATCCCTCCTGCAGGTGCTGGGCCTGCAGCGGCAGCTGGCGGAGGCCCAGGCCTCAGGGAAGGCCCAGGCACAGCAGCTGGAAGGGCACCTGCAGGCGAGCCAGGAGACTGAGCAGGCCCTGCGGGCCGAGGTGCACCGCGCCACCAGGAGGCTGCGGCAGGCCAGCTCCCTGGCTGACAGTCTTCAGGCTCGCCTGGACAGTGCCCATGGCCGGGCCCATGACCTAGAGCAGGAGCTCGCCCAAGCCCAGGGTGCCAGGCGGGACGCAGAGGCCCAGCTGGACGGGCTGCGCTCCACACTCCGCCGTGGCCTGGGGCTCCGGGGTCGGAGCCCCTCCACCTCCCCAGAACGACCTGGTTCTCCCATGAAAGGTGAGTGTCCTCCTGTCCAGCTCTGACTGTAACCTGGGCACCCCGCCCCTTCCCAGGCCTCACACAACCCACACATGAGGGGGCTGGACCAGTCCCAGCAATTAGGAGCCTGTGCCCACAACAGCCCCACCCCAGCGCCCCAGCAGGAGCTTCAGGGTGAAGGGGAGTGCCCACGTTTCTGTCACCAACCCTCCCCACGTCCTCTCCACTGTCACCGATGCAGGTTCCAACAGCTCCCAGGCTCCACCTGAGTGGCACAGAGCCAGCTCCCCCACCAGGGTCCATTCACCACCCCGGTGGCACCCACCTGCCCCTGGAGACTGCGACTCCAAGGTCATTGATGTGGCCTCTGTGCAGGACGCACTGGGGGACCTTCTGCAGAAACTTCAAGATGCCCAGCGGGAGCGGGTGAGGGGCAGCTGGGGTCCTCCCCACCCACAGGGGCACACCCCCTGGGGCCCTGGGACCAGGGAACCCAGCAACTCACCCAGATGACTCTCCGTCTGTGTGTCTGTCCTCAGACCCACTGAGACCCTGGCAGGGCAGCTGCAGAGGGCCCTGGCAGAGGCAGAGGAAGGTGACTGCTGCCCACTGCCCACTGCCCCCTCCCCTGCCCCCTGGGAGTGGTCTGAGTGTCTAGACTGTCCTCTGTGATCCCACTGCCCTCCAGGCCTGACCCTCACATGGCCTAGGACCACACTGTCCCTCAGGGTGGGCCACAAAGCCCCCGGAGTTGGCCCACTGTGATGTCCCCTGAGGATAGGCATTTGCCATCCCATGCCATCCCTGAAGAACTGTCCCCGAGGTGGGGACAGGCCCAGCAGGACCCCTCCCCTGAGGACACCTATGCAGTGAATGTCCAGTTGTGCTCCTGGCCCTGGGACTCAGCAGAGCCTGCAGTCTGCCCCTTCCCAACTTGCCAGGTGGCAGGGTGGGCTCGGGACCCTGGTGGCTGTCCAGTGGGAGAGGCCGACAACAGTCCCAGGGCTGCCGGGCCCCAGCAGTCCTTCAGGACCACTGCCCACTGACACCAGACCAGGGCCAGGTCCCATTCCTCAGCCCTGGCTCCCTTCACACTGACCCACAGGCTGTGTCCAGCCCCTGCCAACTCCTACTCTGCCCAGCCCTCCCTCTGGCCACTCGGGGCCCTCCCAGGCCAGCAGGGCAGCTCATCCCACCACCAGGCCTGACCTTCCCTGCAGCCCACAGCCCACACTGTCCACTGCCCTGCCCGACTACAGCTGCCCACCTGACAACCCAGCCTGCTAGTGGACACCTCTGCCCTCCACTTGCCCCCCAGGCTGTCCTGCTGACCTTAGTTCCTCTGCCCAGGATGAGGCCCATGTCCAGGTGCAGAGCATGAGCAGCCGGCTGCACAGGGTGGAGAGCGAACTTGCCCAAGCGCAGAGCCACCTGGGGCAGCTGCAGAGGGCCTTGGCAGAGGCAGAGGAAGGTGACTGCTGCCCACTGCCCCCTCCCCTGCCCCCGCCCCCTGGGAGCAATCTGAGAGCAGCTCCCGAGCCAGCCCTGGGCCTGGCCAGCGCCCGCTCCCTCACACAGGCCACCCCAGCCCGGGGGCAGTCCCGAGACTCTGAGGCTCTGCTGGTCAGGCCTAGCCCCTCTCCTGTGACTCCCACCCCAGGGTCTGGGCCCTGGCTGTGCCCACTACCTGGCCCTCTTCCCACACATGGGTCCCCCCTTGGACTCTGCCTCCTCTGGCCTCCTCAGAAGGCCCCCACCCAGCCCTTACAGGCTTCACACTCACTGCCCCCTGAAGCGTCGGCCAGGAGGGCAGCCTGGGCTCCGGGAGAGTCAGCCACAGGAGTGTTGGTGGGGGCAGGGAGGGGCCATGGCGGTGGGAGGACTCTGGAGCCTGAAGGAGAGGAAATGAGGGCCATCGGCAGGACCCTGTGCTCCATGGAGGAGCCAGTCACAGGTCCACCGAGCTTCGTCTGTAGCCTGTGAACTGGGGGGACAGTCCTGGGAGTGGTGATCCCCTGGCAGCCTGAAGGCCTTGGGAGTCCCCTGCCATCTGGCTCCCCAGGTCGGCACCGGGCAGAAGGTGCTCTGAGCAGCACCCTGGCAGCACGGGCCCTGCAGGAGGAGGCGCTCCGGAGGCTGGAGACCGAGCACCTGTCCAGCTTGCGGGCGGCCAGCCAGGAGAGGCGGCGGCTACAGGTAGGGCAGGCAGCAGGACAGGGAGGGAGGGAGGGGGCTATAGGAGCTGAGAGGGTCAGGCCAGAGGTCAGTGGCTGGACCAGAGTCCCTGTGGGAATGGGGCACAGGCACACTAGAGAGTCACTGGCCCTCAGACCCCAGGCTGGAGCTACCTCTGGAAGAGCTGTGGGAGCTGTCCCAGCCCCTGCTCCACAGAGGGTTCACAGCAGTCAGGGCCCCCTTCCCGCTGGCCACACGGGCAGGCCTGGGGAACCTGGCCAGCCATGGGGCTCCTCGGTCGTGTTCCGGCTGCTGCAGGACAGCCTTGACGTGCTGCTCAGACACAGAAGGGGTTTAGGATTCAGGTCCGCGTCCCACCACGCCAGGCCCCACGCTATGGTTGGGTCCAAGGTCCAGGATGGTAGGTGGCAGCAGTGGGGAGGTGCCTGGGAGCCGGGATCTGACAAGTGGGGCTGAGTCCGTCCTACGTGGATGGTGCTCACCTGGGTGCGCTCAGGCGCGGCGGATGCGAGGCTTCTTTTGGAAATGCACCTTCCGAACCATCTTTACACGATTGAAATACTGCAAACTCGCCCTGTTCCGGAATGTGCCGAGGCTAGGAGGGCTGTGCTGGGTTTTCCTGCTGATTCTTCCCCAGCGTCTCCTTCTATTTCTAAGGGACTCTAGCGGTGCATTCTGTGACATGCTGCTCAGAGCGTAGCTTCCCCTTACTGTCCTCCTGCAGGCAATGGCTGTGTCCGGCTTTCTTGTGCCCATGGCAGCCTCAGCCTCTCCCCACCTTGGCCTCTGCACTCCCACGGACTCATGGTCTGGCTCTGCGCTTAATCCGCTGTGGAGTCCCTCCCTCTTGTGGGAATGGGGCACAGGGCGTTTCCTCACCCAGGCTTCTGTGTGGTGACAGGTCCCCTGTGCTGGCTCGCTGCTCGCGTCCCTCCTCCTCCCTCTCTCTCTCCTCCCTCCTCCCTCTCCCTCTCCTCC